CCAGGCCATATTTTTTTCAGATTATCATTTATTAATTGTGATCATTAAAACCTAAAAAATGTATTATTAGGAAGGACAGAAGGATACTATGATATTATTTTAAGGAATAGTATACCATGTGATTGTATTTGATATGCATATACACATGCCCATATTTGCATGTAAATATACATGTATAAACACATAAATGCCAAATTTTTCTTAGAATCTACAGGAATTTTTCTGGTATCTAGGGCTTTAGGTAAGGAGCTTCCTTCCATGTTGAAACTTCTCATGCTAGGACCAGGCCTCTACTTGATGAATTTCGACCTGCCCAGTTAGACGTTGTGGAAGTCCTCATACAGACATAGGAAGATAATTCAGAGTTAATGCTCATTTCTTGTTTAAAGAGTGATCTTGGAATAGAAATAAGAAAATGAAATCTCATGACAGTGTCATCATAAAGTCATCAGCCAGATGGCAGTCCTTGAAATCTAATCCTTAGAGGTCTCTCACAATAATTTGTAATATCACATCTAATATTATCTTATTCACAAATCCATATCTATTCACAGAGACAGAAAAGAAAGGAATGAATTTGCAGAGGCTCACATATTTTACTTTATATGTTAATAAGAACTTTATATGGAATGTGATCAGAAAAGCAAAATATTTTCCTACATCGATCATTTATATTCAGAACAAAGGTTCTGAAGTAAACATTATTTTAGTTTTTGTTTATGTGTTGAAATAACAACCTGCCAGCAAATGATAGCAAAACAAAGTTCTTCCAGGTAACATTTATCTTATTTAAAACTGAACAATTTGAAACTGAATTGAAGATTTTATTGCTTTAAATAGTGTTCCAAATATACAAAAATTTTGCATAGGTTTATCTACATGATTTCCAGTTTCAGTATAGGAAACATTAATGTTCAATGGTCAGATAGGGAAGTTACAAATGGCTCTTAAGCACTCAAAAGATAGCTAACAAGAGAGAGAAATTAATTTTTTTTTTGGATATTGGGGATTGAACTCAGGGGCATTTGACCACTGAGCCACATCCCCAGCCCTATTTTGTATTTTCTTTAAAGACAGGGTCTCACTGAGTTGCTTAGAGCCTCACTTTTGCTGAGGATGGCTTTGAACTTGCTATCCTCCTGCCTCAACCTCCCAAGCTTCTGGGATTATAGGATGTGCCACCATGCCTGGCTGAGAAATTGAATTTTAAATTTTATTTAAACATAATAAGATTGCCACATGTGACATATGGCTATCCTATTGGACAGCACAAATATAAAGGATGATGATTTTAATTCACTTCTAGGTTCAGCTGGGCAAGATATTAAATAGATCAAAATGCAAAAGATCATATGAACACTTTTCTTATTCTTTATCTAGCATAGAGCCTATAAGAATATAAAATAAGAGAGCTGTAGACAAAGCATAATATGTTTTAATTTATAAAATGGACACACATAGCAAACACAGAATGTGAATTTCTAATGTAAAGTATCAGTAGCCTATAAAGAATGCAACTTCCCTCATGATCTCACTGACCAGAGCAACATTCAAGTCCACATGGCCCATTTTTACTATAATCCTACTCCACCAGTCAATGATTTGGGTGGTTATTCTTTTTCCCAGGGAACTTAATACAGCCCAGCTACAGTGTGTCAGTTTGTTTCCATGCTCTTTGTAGAAGTCATTCTCTATTGATAGAGGCCACCCCAATCCCAGACATAAGCAATGATTTTGCAACACAGTTCTGGAACTAAAGTTTCTGAGAAAGACTTTGCTTCCACGATACAAGAGCTGTCCCTTCTACTACTATTTCTTCCTGCTGGGATGTACGTGTTCTGCTAGGAAGAACTTAGAGACATCAGGACTGGCATTGCTGAGTTACTGAATCCATGTCAATATCTTCCTACCTCTGAACTTCTCATTATGGGAGACTAAAAGACCTCTGTTTAATAAGCTACTGAAGTTTTTTGGTGACTCAAAACTGAAAAGCAATCCTACTAGATATGATTTTCTCTGTGTTGAGTTTTTGATACAGTAGAACACTAATAGTTATTTGTTGTTTGTTCATTTACCTATCCAATCAAAAAACATTTAGGGAGTAGTTACTATGTGCATGCTAAGTGCCAGGTTATATGTTGGTGGATAATCAGCCAATGTACTTATGCATATAGAACCAACATTCTCATAAGAGACAAAGAACAATAAACACTTCAGTGTAATGTAGTGAGATAAACATAACAGTGCACCAGAAGAGCATGAGTTTTTAGGGTTGATAAAGAAGGTTTTCTGGAGGAATTAGCATTAAAACTGAGACCTGGAAAATGAATAGAATTTAAGCAGACAAGGAAGAGAAATGATATATGTACTAACTCAGCAAGCCATATAGAAGACAGAACATAGTGAAGAGGAAATGAAAACAGCTCTCTTGTTACTTAATGTACATGACAGAAGGAGGGGGAAGATCCAAGGAGGACAGGAAATTAGACTCAGTTGTCAGGAAAGGCCAAATCACACACGACTTTAAAACCATTTAAAGGAGTGTGGACTATGTTTAAAGGTAATGGTTAAGCTATGAATTGCTTTAAAAGTGGGAGGAGGATGGGCTACATGAATATACTGTATTTAGAAAAAATCATCCTGGAACCTATGTAGAGGATGGGTAGAAAGTTGAAAGATTAGAGGAAGAAAAACTAGTAAAATAAATGATGTGGTTGTTCAGGCCTAACATCACAGTAGAGGAGTAGGGATGGAAAGAAGTGACTGGATTTGAAGGCTATTTAGGCAGTAAATGGCTGTACTATAGTTTAGCTAAGGGAGTTATAGAAGGAAGTGGTAAGCCCAACTCTGTTAGTTTTCCAAATTGAACAACCAGATGGGTTGTGTTAATGTTCACTGGATAGGGAACATAGGAAGAGAAGTTGGTTGCATTTAGAGAAAAAGGTTGAGTGAGGGCATAGATGAGTTTAGCTTTGGATCTAATCAATTTGAAGCTCCTGTGGGAAATTAAAATGGAAAGGCAGTGATAGAATATACAGTTTAATACTCAAAAGAGCATTCTTAGCTGGAAATACAGATGGGTAGTCATCAGTGGACTGAAAATACACAAGTGCATGAATTTCACAAAGAGTATATATGAAGTGAGTAAAGAATGGGGAAGAATTTTACAGGAATGAGTCAAAAGTAGCTTGGTGAATTGCAGATTCTGTATGGGCCATGTAAAAAGGTAAGTTGGCTTCTTAAGTCTCATTTATTCTACCTATGGAGAAGTAACTCTATATCTTCCTTAGCTGATAGCTTTTTATGGACAAAGCCAAAAAACAAACTGGAATTCCTTCCCCCAGATAATTCAAAGACCTTAATAAAGTGATCAAAGATCTTAGAGTTTTGCTTAGGACATTATGCAGCATGAGAATAAGGAGGGAGGGATACTCCAGAAAGAGTAGAGCAGATGGAATTGTTCAGTCCCTTGAAACTCTAGTTTTGCACTATAAATAAGCACTTTTGTTTACTCCTTCTTAATTTACATATCTAAACTCTCCAAATTAATTTATCATCTTAATGTACTTTCCCAAAGAGACTTCTGTTTGAGAAGCAGGTATTTTCCTTTGAGATCTAATGATTGACTCTATGATAACCAATTGATTTCATATGGATAATTCTTCCCAAGTCTATCTGCCTTTGTTTTGCTGAACAGATAGCAGATTTTTATTTGGAGAAGAATGTCCAAACTTTGCCATCTACACTGATAGATTTTTCTCCCCAAATATCAGTTCTCTATTGAAGTTTGCCCTTTCCCCACCAGGGTCTTTTTGATAAGACCCCAGCTCCTCAACTTTAGGTTGCATTTTCTTTTTAATGGTCATCTGGACATCCACTGTCTGGAATTCAGGACTAGAGCTACTCTATTCTTAAGGGTCACCAGCTTAAATCAAGCATCACCGGAGTACTTTATTTTCACTCAGTTTCAAGGTTTACTTGGCTTTTTATTTTCATGTATCAACAGTTCATTACTCCTAAGACTTCCTGCTCCTTTGTTTAAAATCTGAGTTTTCCTTTTGGTAGGATTTTACTTTTTAATAAAGACTACCAAACTGACTTTTCAGTAATTCATGTCATCTTCTAGAACTTTCCTTTCACCATTGTTATCCTTATCATTGCTAAGGTGCTATTTTTGCCTACTGTCTGACACAACTTGAAACAAGAGCCCAACTATCCTTCACTTATCATAGTATACACAAGGTAACTTTATTATGCAAATGGAGCCATCATTTAGCAAATATTTACTAGCTCCCTATCATGTCACCTGGTTTAGGACCTGGGCATGTGTCAAAAAAAAAAAAAAAGACAATCTCAGCCCTCATGGAGTTTAGACTAATTTGTAAGACAAACATGAATTATATAATTCATGTTTTTATTTATGATTGGAACAAGTATTAATGCAAGAAAAGCACTAGGGATTAATAAGGAGACAGGACCTAGTTTGAGGAGATAGTGCTCTCAGAGCTGTAAATTTCCATAAATATATAATGAGAAATGAAAATTATGAGTCATATACCCTACATGGATTTTCCCAATGGGGATATGGAGTGAGATACAATAGCGGCATTTTTGACATCAGTAACACCATTATGAAGTTCAAAGTGACTTGTCAGATTAAGCATGGGACACACAGCATGTGCCATGATGGGTTAGAAAGGTATTTGTTTGAATAGAGTTCTCAGAGAAGACTGATAAATGACTTACAGCTACAGATCAGTATTTTGTTCTTGTTTTCTCTTGATTCTGTCACTACCTTTTTGACTGTGGGCAAATCATTTCATTCTCATCATTACAATAGGAGGCTGAGTCAAACCTGTGAGTTGTGTCAGCATCTGCCATCTTGGAGCCTCCTAAGCACCAGTTTAGCAGGATTGGAAAAACAAACCTGTTTTGTCCATTCAGTGCTACCACCCTTTCACTATAGCCAATAATAGTTTTAGAAATAATGTAGTTCTTACCTTTTATGAATATTTGCCCAAGATGCATTGATGTTCTCTGTTATCATGTGTACTTTTCTGGTGTCATCTGAAGAATAATCCCGGAGAAGTTTCAGCGCCAAGTCATTTGCCACATCTATGTTTATCTGCCATTGACGGAGGTCTTTGGCCAACTGCTATAGATGTATATGGGAAATAGAATGAAAGTCAGGTTCTTTTTCTGAAATCTATAGGTGGACTTTCTTCAAATAGCTTCTGAAACCTTAGGTTAGATATGTCTTCAAGATTGTTTTTAACCTACTATATGATTTAGTAAACCATGACAGTATAAGCTAACCTCCTTTTCATGACAAAACTTTTCAAATGCAGCAGCTAGAGCAATAACCAGTTTTAAGTATTTCAATTTAGTACCAATTAATTGGAAATAAAGTGAGCTTAATTGTTTTTATCACAGGAGAGAGCAAAGTATAAAAACAAGTTTCTATATAATCGTTGTGCATGTGACACATAACAAAATTTGAACAGAAAATTTATTTTTCATGCATTTCTCTTCTCTTCATTAACTTGTTGAATTGTTTATGTAATTAGTGCCATCTACTGGTATTCAACTAAACCTGCATACAGGAAATATTGACAAAAGGACAGTGCCATTATTCTAGAAACAAAAATTTTTAAAGGACTATAATATTTAAAAAATATTTTACTTTAAAATTAGAACAAAAATCAAAATATAGGAATCATGCTAAACAAAATCATCTATTTTTCTCTTTGTTTGTCTTTGACAATCGAGTGTTGTCCAATTAGCCATTTTATTACTGGAAGAACATTTCAAAGAAAGAAGTCAACCAATTAATTATAGGTGTAGCCGGAAGCATATCAGCTTGAAACTTCTATTAAACACTTTTGCAAGTAGGAGGCTTTTAAACATTGAGATAATATTATATTGTTAAGGTAGTTATATCAAATTCAATATGGTGGATTAAGCTATTGATTCATGGGCAGAGAAATAAGAATGAGCAATTTAAAGAGCAGACAGAATAAAATGATTTATAGAAAAGAAAATATTAACTTTCAAGTAATAAAAAATAGAGTATTAAATATGTGAGATACAATTTAACACCAATTAAATTAACAACAACAACAACAAAAAACCCAAAGTCAGAAAGACTGGGAAAATTAGCACATTTATGTACTATTGCTAGGAACAGTTTCTATTAGGACAATTGGGCAATAGATCCCAAGTGATATACAAATGCTTAATCCCACTGACCCAATAATCTCACTTTTTAAAACTTATTTTAATAAAAAATTTTAAAAATGATAAATATACTATAAAAATAAAGATCTTTGTAAATCAAAATCACAAAAAAGGTAACTTTAATATTTAAATAGGAGATGTTAAATGCATATAATACATTAATGCAAGTCTCAATAATAGTAAATGTGCACAGTAATCATTATAAAGGGAACAGTTTTCTTGTGCAAAAAGCAAAAAAAAAAAATTATTTACATTGTGTGTTATAACCTAAAAAACAAAACGTAGTCATGAATTGGAAGGAAAACAGAAGCTGAAAAAAACTACTGTTTCTGAAAAGAGAAATCATTTTTTGTTTTCATAGCTGTTGTTTTGTGTTAGTATGATGTTAATATAATAAGAATCTAACATTGGTACTTTCAGTATAGTTTCAATGGATTTGATTGGACTTCTATCCCTTAAAAATACATAATATGTATTTAATCTGACATTTCTTAGTTAACTAGAACATTCCATTTTAGAATTAAACTAAATGACAATGTTTACTGCATTTTAGACCCAGATTATCAAACCAAGAATCTAAAGTTGAAAGCAAGAAAGAGTTTCTATGGCACAGAGCACAGTTGCTACTATTACAATGCAACTAAAATTTATCTGTGGAAAGCCTTCTTTTCCTTCCACACTTACATGAAGCACCATAACTGCTGTTTTATTTTTTTAAGCTTTATTTGTTCTTTTTATATATACATGATAGTAGAGTGCATTTTGAGCTATTATATATACATGTAGTACAAGCATGTGTAATTTTTGTGGTTGTACATGATGTGCAGTTTCACTGGTGGTATATATGAGCATAGGAAAGTTATGTTCAATTCATTTTACTGTCTTTCCTTTTCCCATCTCCCCCTTCTCTTCATTCCCTCTTGTCTAGTCTAATGAACTCTATTCTTTCCTCCTCCCTTTATTGTGTGTTACACAGCTCCTATTTTCTACTTTTCAGACTCCTGAGTGATTCAAAAGTCCTTCTGAGGTTGCATAACCTTCAAAGTCTTGTGTTTCCTGAAAAATTCCTTCTGAACAAAATTATGTCTCCTTTCTTTCTCTTTCTCAGAAACCTAAAGTGTAAATAATGTATAGTAAGACAAGGAAGACTGATCAACGCTTATTATCTAGAGGGTGGTATTTGCATTTTAAAAGATCAGCTTTTATCATCTATAGCATAAATCTCCACAGAACTGTGACCAATATACTGTTTACTGTTTCCCAAGGAAACTTCTTTAAGAAAAAATTTAGTTAGAGATGGACACAACACTCTTATTTATTTATTTTTATGTGGTGCTGAGGATCAAACCCAGTGCCTCATATGTGCAAGACAAGCGCTCTGCCACAAAGGCACAATCCCAGCCCAGGAAACTTCTTTTTAATAAAGATTTATAGACAGCTGTGACAGTGCACAACTGTAATCCCAGCAATTTGGGAGGCTGAAGCAGGAGCATTACAAGTTCAAGGCCACCTCCTGCAATTTAATGATAACCTAAGCAATTTAATAAGACCCTGTCTCAAAATAAAAAATAAAAAGGGCTGGGGATATGGTTCAGTGGTTAAGAATCTCTTTTCAACCCCCAGTACTTTACCTGGTAAAGCATATAAAAATGGTAATAAGTATATAATTAAAATAATTTACTTAAGCAAGTTAAATAATCTTGGATGTTACCCTTCACTCATGAGTTGCTATTTAAGCAGACTAGATAGAAAAGGATACACTCTTTGAATGGTTTCATGGACATATACATATTTTCAAACATATGAAGCTACTTTTATTAAACATGGACTGTATTTCTCTGTATCACTTATACCTCAATAAAGCTGTTGAAAATTTTTAAATAGGAGAATGTGACAATGAGTCTTAAATAAGTCTGTAGATCATAAAAATACCTAGATGTATAAATTGCAAGGTACACTAGGATTTTCCAAAACCTCTGGATGAAATAGCAAAATTAGTGATGTCATAGTAAAAACATGAAGCTTGATTTCAAAACAAAACTTTTTGATACATGCTTGAAAGGCAAAAATGAATGTTCCATGTATTTTTCTCTAAAATTGTACTCACAATAAAAGTTAAAATTTTTATACCAAGAAAATCTTGGCTGAGCACTAATGGTCACTGAATAATGCCCAGTTTTGTGAGGATGTGGGATTAAAAAGAAAATCTCTCACTGACCTTGACTAACATTGAGAGCACTAAGACCCTTATGTAAACACAAAGGTTGTCAACCAAAGCTTTCTTTTTTTCTCTTCTTAAAGACATTCACCAGAACAGACTGGTTTCCCTTCCTTCTAAGGTAATATCCTGACTACTGTGGGTTTTACCCAAGCAACATTCAAGGAACCATGACCTTGACTAGCTTTGCCTACCACTGTGAAATTTACTACTGGGATAACTCCAGACCTCAGAAGGAGTGTAAATTCAAAAATACAATAGACTTCACACACAACCTTTTTTTCTTTCTGAATTCCATTTACAATGGTGTACTCTATGGGGAATTGTTTGTGTTGTGATCATGGTGTGTGAAGAAATTTAAAATACTGTGAGCACTAGCCTATAAAAAAGATGACTTTGTGGGTGTATTTGTGTGTTTCCTATGAAGAACATAAAATGTAAATTCCCCAAAGATTGTATTTCTGACCTAGAGAGAAATATTTCATATTCATACCTAACTTGATGCAGCTGCAATACACTTGGTATTTATCCACACTATTTTAGGCAGAAAAATACTTGTGGACAATGAGACAACCTTAAGCAATTTCAAGAATTTTGAGGGTTTTTTTTTCCCTATTTTAATGTTTAACTTATCTCACTTTAAAATTTGCAACAATTCTTTTTTATGTATATTGACTACATGAGAGAAAAGAAAGGAAAAAGAAAAAAGTAGTTAAAAGTCTGGGCAATCAAATGAACCTATTGAGTTTGAATTCTGGCTTAATAAATTAGTAATCACATGACATGGGAACATTAATTATCTATGCCTTAGTTTCATTTGTTAATTGAGAATATTAATAGACACCTTAAAAGAAGATTATCGAGATTAACTAAGAAAATTCAGGGAAAACACAGAGATGTCTGGCAAACTGAAAGAATTAAATAAATATTGGTTATCATTACTACT